TTCCTTCCTTCCTTCCTTCCTTCCTTCCTTCCTTCCTTCCTTCCCTCCCTTGCTATACTGGAGTTTGAACTCAGGGCCTTGTGTTTACTAGTCAGATACTCTTACCACATGAGCCATACTTCCATTCCTTGGTTTAGCTGTCTTTTGAATAGGGTCTTATGTTCATGTCTGGGCCCAAATCTTCCTATCTATGCTTTCTGCATAGCTAGGATGACAGGCATGAGCCACTATGCCAAGCTGATGTAACACTTTTCTGATGATGGGGTTCTTATCTTTAGGAATAAGACATAGTACCTGCAAACTGATTTTTTTCAGTTTTTCAGTATTTCTTTTCATTATTGAGGATCAACCCAGGGCTTCATGCATGCTAAGCAGGTGCTCTGCACTTGGACTTCTAGTCCAAGCGGAAAGTTGTTTTTTTTTTTAATGGTCCTGGGGCTTGAACTCAGCCTGGGCACTGTCCCTGAGCTTCTCTGCGCTCAAGGCTAGCACTCTACCACTTGAACCACAGTACCACTTCCGGCTTTTTTTTTCCTTTTTGCTTAGGTGGTGCTGAGGAATCAAACCCAGGGCCTCCGGCATGCAAGGCAAGTGCTCTACCACTGAGCCACCTTCCCAGCCCCTCATTAATATTTTTACAAGTCTTTGTGTTAAGGATTTTGAGAAAGTGGCAGTGTGGTGTCTATTCTGGTGCTGCAAACCCTGTTCAGAAGCAAGCTGCCTGTTAATTGGTTTAGTTCCATATTCTTCATACACAGGGAGAAGAGCAAGTCAGTTCTCTTTTGCTGGACCCCCAAGGCAGTCTGAGGCAGTTTTCTGAAGAACAGTTACAAAGAGGCAAGAGGAGCCTCTGTCCAGGCTGAAAGGAAATCCTGATGTGCCTTCCAAGCAGGCAAGCGCCTTGCTTGGCTCATACAGCTAAGTGGCTGGCTGCACTGGGTGTGAAACCTCTTGACTGGCTCTTCTGTCAGGCTGTGGGTTTCTCCCTTCTCCCTCAAGTCTCTGGCTGTCCCTTTTGTGTGTCATAGTCAGGTTATCCAGTATTTTACCTTTCCAACTTGTTGCTATATTGGGGACTGAAACAAATTGTTTTATGTATAGCAGTGAGAAGGCTGTGAGCTAGCCACCATTCCTCTTCTGATTTTGTGACTGGGCTTATCTAAAGCTACTTGATCAATTGGATGTCTTTTTTTCAGGTCCTGGGATTTGAAGTCAGGGTCTTGCTTTGGTTGTTTGCTTGGCTGGAGCTCTACCACTTGAGCTATGGCTCCAGGCATGCTGTCTGGTGGTTATTTTGGAAATGGAGTCTCATGAACTTTTCTGCCTTAGCCTTGAGCCAGAGCTCAGTCTTCTGAGTAACTAGGATTATAGGCACAGGTTACTAGCAGCACCTGGCTTTCATTTTCATTTTTGTCTATCTGCCTGATCATTATTTTTCTGGCTTGCTGATATAACCAGTCTCTAAAACACTGTAGAATTATTTTTTTTATAGATATGCAGTTTTTCCTCAGTCACTTAAAATCCACAAGGCTGAGCTGTCTACCTACAAAATGAAATTAGATGCACTAAGAGGAAAAAGAGAGAAAGTCATTGACTTTGAACAAAAATCTAAAATTCTAGGCACCAATTCAGTACCCAGTCAGTAGTGAGAAGCTGTGCTGGTGAGCATTTAGGGACACGACAGACACTCATTTGTAGGTGTGTGACATGAACACCAGGCAAGCGAAGCTTAGCCATGTGCAGTTCCGTGTCCACCCCACGCTCCCATCCCTCCGAACATATCTTATCAGTTGAAAGCTTAGTTTCCCGAGTTAGCACACAGAGAAAAATGTCAGTGACTCGGCCGAAGCCTGATGCAACCCACACAAGAAATCTTGGTTGAATGACTATTTCCTTCTCATGGCAGGGTGCTTGTATTCAAAGGTTTATCTTTTGTATCAACTCTGGGCTTGGGGGTATTATTTCTATGTAACATTTAGAAGCCAGATTCAGAGAGATGGAGTCTTCAGAGAGGTTAAGTAGCTGTGTTCGTTACCATGGGGGAAAGCATGACCAATCCCCTCAGCCTTCTTTACTATCACTGTGAAGTAGCCACCTACTTTCTGCACTGCTGCTAGAGCTGCAGGGAAATGACAGGCTGCCTAGGGAACTTCAGAAGAGCTTCTAAAGAGAAGCTTCTCTGCCGTAAGGCACAGTAAAACCCAGCTGTACTCAACATGCACCCTGAGAATGAAGGGACATTATGATGCACTTCTGTGTCCCGAACAGAAAGGAAAGGAGAATAACCAGACACAAGCTAGTCTCACTGGAATCTGGCCTCTGCTGGGCTGCCAGTCATGCTCAGGTCTGACCCAGCTGCTTTTCTGCTTTAAAATCTGGGGAAAGGAGCTAGGCACCTGTAATCCTAGCTACTCAGGAGGCTACGATCTAAGGATGGGAGGTTGAAGTCCCCCCAGACAAGAAAGTCTGTAAGGATTTTATCTCCAATTAACCACCAAAAAAAACCCTGCAAGTGGAGGTGTGGCTTAAGTGCTAGCCATGAATAAAAAAGCTCAGGGACAGCAACTAGGCCCTGAGTTCAAGTTCTAAGACCAACATAAAAACAAAAGTTGGGAAAAGATACTTAGCAACAGCCCACTGCAAAGGAAACCCTTCCCCAGCCTCCCATTTAGTTTCTGCTCACATCTCTTCCAGTACCAGGCCAAACAACTACACACACACACACACACACACACACACACACACACACACACACACACACACACACACACACACACACACACACACACACACACAGTTTTGCCTCTGGGCCTTAGTTCATGTACTTCCCTCCACATAATTTCCACCAATCTTCAAGTTTCAGTTATAACGAACAGTTTTTTCTGTGCTGTGCATTTTCTCCATCATTCTCCCATCACAGATCACATTGAGTTGGAATTGCTAATAAACCTTTGCTTCCACTAGACAATGTGGCCAAGGGTAAAGGCCAAGGTCAGATTTCTGTATTAGCTGTTTGGTCCAGCCCATGTGCACATGTGCACACTCAAGTGCATGTGTATGTTCACCCACACTCAGTGTGCTCTATGTATGCAGGATGGCTGACTGGTTGTTTAAGAACAAGGTTTTCATACTTAACTCAGTTTCAGTACGAAATTCAAAACAATGAAGACAGGGCTCAAACACAGCAGGGAAAAAACATACGCTTTTAACTCTCAAAATAAATACTAATCAATTTTATTTTATAAATACAGATGCTAAATTTTCTTCCAATTACCAAAAGATCAGTTTCACATGCCATTTATTATTGGTGGTGGTTTAAAAAATTATTTAAATAACCAGTTAGGTCAGGATAAATGGGCACCATTAGAACCACTAAAAAAATATAGCTGGGTACACTCTTCCAAAACTAATATTCCAAAGGAAAAAAAAATTCTGGAATTTTTAAAGTGGTTAAGGGGAAATGGAGAGAAAAAACACAATCAAATATTCATTTGCTAATATTTGCTGGCTGTTAAGAGTGTCCCAGCTGTACGAACATTCAAAGGGTGCTTAGCAGCTCAGAAATGGACAGTAGTGAGTTTCCATTTCAACTTATATCTTTTGAGAAAACTGTTTTAGTGATTTACAAGACTAGTTACAAAGATTAGCAAGACAGATTATACTGTACTTTGCCTTGGCCACTTTAAATAGAAGCAAAATGGATTTTGAAGCTTTTCGTCTATCCAGCTCATGGCAGAAGTGGCAGATATCAACTAAATGCAAATGAAGACCCCCAAATCTAAACCTACTTGGTGTTTCCATGCAGTTATCATTGGACAGTGGGGGTCCATGTAAAAGTGAAGCAAGTTCTGATGACTTCTAAGCAATCTGATCAGTCAAGAGCTGTAGAAATACAAAGCCATGAAGTCCAGACCAGGGAGCCTATGGAGGAACTCAGAGCTGTAGGTTCTATTCCACTGTGTGGAACCCGTGATGAACACTAGCCAGGGGGTTCTCTATATATGGTCCTCCTGCTCAATGCATGTAGTTTGAATTTGTATAAAGTTTAAAGTTTACCCTTGCATCAGGGAAAATCACAGATCATTTTGCAATACTAACTGACCTTCAAATGCCCTTTAATTTTTCAGATATCACCTCAGTAGAAAACTCTACAGCATGATGTCTACATCTAAGACAGAGACTCTCTCCACCTATTAAGACTCGAAAATGAGTAACAAGACCTAGCAAAAAGACTCCTCCAAGCCATGGCTGCAGATCTCAAGTAGACAGACATGCATCTTTGAGTGGAATAAGATGACTTTCATCAGACTGAGTTAAAGCTTCCAATTGTATGCAGGCTGGATCTGTCTGCTATGTAGTGGCTTGTGAACTCTACGCAGGATAACTACTTGCATGAGTCCATTGTACAATGAAGCTATCAATTAAAACTGAGCCCAGGGATGTTTGAACATAATATAGACATAACTGTGAGAGCCCTATGTTAGGCAGGACAAACGGCTATGGAGAGCGCACATGTGAAGCATATGTGCTGCTATCCATAGGATTTGTCAACTCAAACCAAGTCATCAGCATCAGCTTCGATGCAGCCATGGCTTTTGTTCAGGCTAAGCCCGTCATGATCTATCATAAGGAGATATAGGATTAAGAATTCCAAAACTGAGGGTAAAAAAACCCCAAACAAAACTAAGTGAAGTAAACTCAATTTTTATTTTTCTATACAATACATGGATATATGGATAAATTTTCCTTAAAGAGCTTGCAACCCTGAGGCATCGTCCTTGGGTACATAATGTATAAAGCAACAGCAAACAAATGCAGGAATGACAAATTAGACTTCAAAAACATAATTTAACACTTTATGAAATTGCACAATAACACTCTATGCCTCATATATTCTCTTAACTCACCCATTTCAACTCCTTTGCAGTGGACAGCCTGACTCTCTACATATATTTTGTCATATATAATGCCTTCCTTCAGATTGAAATGTAATAAATTAATATGGAGTTTACATTTAAAGCTTTTTTTTTGTCTGGTGAGTAGAGTGCCAGAAGGCTTGCCTAATTTTTGACCAACTACATCTACCCATGTAGAACTTTGGACCCCACGGGGAACTGGATGCCATCTGACTATGGTTAATTCTTGGGAGTCTCTTGGGCCCACCAAAGGAATGCTCATCCAGGAGTACAGCAGTAGGGGAATGGTCTTGGCTGAGTAGAAGAGAAGGAATGTCCTGATAATAGTTTGGGGCCTGTGAGTGTTGATGTCCTGGGGTTTAGGAGGCATAGCCCATCTACTAGGAAGACAGGCCAACAGTGGGTCTCTACTTGACTGGGGTGCTTGGGAGCAAGGGTTGGAGCACAGGACCCTGGGTAAAAGGTAACACTAACTTCTCATTTATCAACCTGATGGATGGTCATAGACACTTAGGAAAATGGTCAAAAGCTATTCCTGAATATCCCATCTTTCCAACGTTTTATAAACTGTGGTGAACGCCAATGCTTACGGGAAACTAAAGGTGAGTTCATTATATTATTTATATATTATCATCTTCCCTCTGAGGATAACATAGAAGTGTAAATAAAAAAGCAGACATATAAGGTGACTCGAGCTGTAAGCTCTTTCAATTAGGGGGTGACTTTTGCCTTAAAACAATCATCAGGCCTGAAAAGCAAATCTTGAAAGCAAAATCTAACTTTGTCTGGCCCACTGATACACAATGATCCTGAGTCCCTCTTTTCTTCCCAAAGTTGTTTTTGCTGAGGAATATCCTCCATTAATATTCATTTTGTATCATAATTATGAAAAAGGGTGAGTGCAGCTTTATTCTCACTGAGCCAGTAGTTCTGCTCTGGTCCTCCTGTCTGGTCTGCTCACTTTATTTATCAGAACTCCTGCGTGGCCGCCGGAAGCTGGATACATTTTCATTCAGTGCATAGATCCTTCGGGAGAACTCTTCAAATTCTCCCAGAACTTGCTCGTCACACTCAACTGCCACGGCACTGTCCACAGGGATGCAGTTAAATGCTTCTAGCTGATCGCCTGACGTGAAACCTGTGGCTTCCAGCCCGATGATTTCTTCTGCTTGTTCCACGGCACAGCAAACCTCAGCCCCTGAGGCCAGGTGAAACTCCCCAGGAAGCTGGACACTGGTGGGGCCAGGCTGCTCACTGGATGGCAGGGTGCCATTTACTGTGGCTGGGTGCCCAGAGAGGGCTTCTCTTTGTTCTTGGCTAGTGTCCACACTCACATGGCCTCCGTGTAAAGTGTCACCCAAATCCACTCCCTTTTTCTTGTTTTCTTTGGAGAAGTCCAAGGAGGTGTCCAAGGAAGAGGACAGAGATGCTGTCTTTCTCTCAGACTCTCTCATGGGAGGGGTGGCGGTTCCAGGCTGTGCTAATGCTGAGTTGTAACTGGGTGGAGGGGTTTTGTACTGGAGTCTTTCGTTCTCTGAGCTGGCCCGTTTTCGATGTCCTTTGTCCGGTGAGGGGATCTCCCTAGAGAAGCCCACATCTGTGCCCCCAAAGATGGAACTTTGTCTCTTTGGAACAGGGATTGCACTGGAGGTGTGATGTCTGTCACTAGAAGACAAACAAAAAAAAATGAGAAGTTACTTTCCGCTTTAGAATTCAGTTTATGTATTCTGGGTCCAGACATAGGAAATAGTATCTTTTAGGTGTGAGACAATAAAATTAGATGATAACCAATCCTAGCGTTTATTACAATGAATGCATGCAAGAATGGGCATGAAGCATGAAGCTGGGTCCAACCTCTGGAGCTTCCTTCAGGAAAAGTACAGATATAACAATATACTTAAAAGAAGGACAGGGTGGGGCACCGAAAGCACATCACCTGGGGAACAGTTTACCGAACTGGATGGACCAGACCTGGAAATGAAAACTTGTGAAGGCTACTCAACCTCATAGATGTCTGTGGGGCTATCAGAGTTCTTGCTTTTAATAGTTCATTGGTATTTTATCTTCGAAAGCAGTCACCTCACTTGGCGGGGTAGTTCAGTGACTTGCCAATGATAACTCAGGAAGGTAGGGACACACTAAGTCCTGTGACTTGTGACCAGCTTTTCTAGCTCCCCAAATATTAATCATCCTGCATTAAGAAAACTGGCAAAAGAGAGAGAGAGAGCATCAAGGGGGATTTTTTTAAAAGGAAAAATTAATTTGGAAATGTCTTCTCTTTTATGAGACTAGCCACACACACGTTTTACAACACTGAATCCTTGGTGCCTTCTTTCGAGCCTGAGTTCCTGGTCAGGAAGATTTCTTTGAGCCAGCAATAATATTCACTGTTCAGCTAGACAAAGCTTTATAGGTTCTGAAGTCATTTCACAAACATCCTTTCACTTGGTCCTTACAAAAAATCCTATTAAAAACCCTGCATTAGTACATTTAAGTCAGAAATAATAAATAATAATCAGTTGATCTAAAGAGTCTCCAGACCAGGGAAATGATGGTTATATTATATTCTATGTTAGTTAAGCCACTCCCAGAGTGTTGATCATAGTTCTAGATGTTATTATTTGCAGATGAAACTATCTTTAATACAACCTTATGAAGACTGGGTTGAGAGGCACAGGGAGGTACAAACACAAGAACAAACTGACTTGTTCTAAACAGGAGGAAACTCTGAGAGAGAAGTGGCTGTTAAAAGAGCAAAGCAAGGCAGGAATTGAAATGATACACAACTGGCACTTTCTATGCCAGGCTGTGGGAAGGACAGACAGATGGAAAACAGAGCAGGTCTTGCCTCAGTTTGCAAAACTGTAAGAAAAAAATCTGCAAGAAAGGCCCTACTTCCAAGGAGATTCCAATCCTGCAAGAGAAGGATAACCTAATAAGGGCTGGAGGTGTGGCTTGGTATTAGAGAGCCTGCCTACCAAGTATGAGGCCTTGAGTTCAAACCCCAGCACTGCCCAAGTATGTATTATATTAAAGACTTAATAAACCAAATAATATTTTTAAAAGATAGTTATAATAGCTTCAATAACACATTTTCAAATTACAATTTCAGTAAGTGCCCTGATAAAGAAGGATGTGTAGGATCCCTTCTACCTGTGACCGCAGCCACAGCCCTGGACCTAACTCATTCCCTCTTCCCTCTCATGTTTTTCTGAGCTGGATTATACCTGTGGTCTCAGATAATACAGAAACATTCTTGAGAAAAAGCACCAGGAGGCTTTATGGGCTGCCACACTTTCTCACTTGACCCTAAGTATTGGTGCCAAAAGATTAGGGGTGGTCCCTGGGATGCAGATCAAACTGGGCAAGTAGAGAGCAAATCGCTGTTTTTCACGCTCAAGAAAAACCGAAGAAAACAGAGTAACATCTGCAGGCCTTAATCTAGGTTTTCAGTTACTGTGTGGTCAAAACTCACAGTAATTGGGTTGGCCGCACATTTTGCCAACCTTTGCTGACAGTGTCCTTCTCTAAATGATTTTGCAGGCTGACGGGTAAGCACACTGAAACACAGCATTAGCCCCATTCACAACCATCTATGCAATACATACAGCCAAGGGCACTGGGAAACTGGTGAGCCAGCATGAAACCCTGGAGGAGGTTGCTCGGGTATGAGCAGATATCACTGCTACTTGTGGGTGAAAGATGAAGGTATTGATGCTTCTCACTTCCCTTCCTGTTCTTCTTCTCTGTAGGGCTTCCAGTGGGCTAAGAAAAGGCAGCCAGCCTCCAGGATCAGACTCAACACACCTAGGGAGCTTATGACACAAGAGGAACAGGGGTCTTCATAGCCCTGTTTTCGAGACTCTCTTTAGACCTTTTTTTCGTGTGTGTGTGTGTGTACACCCATGTATGGGTGCATCAATACTGTGGCTTAAACTTGGTTTCAAATTCCCACTTTTTTGTTCAAGGATGGTACTCGCCACTTGAGCCTTACCTCTACTACTGGCTTTTATTTTTGCAGGTTAACTGAAGATAAAACTTTCAGACTTTCCTGCCTGGGTTGGCTTACGGCTGAAGTCCTCAGAGCTTAGACTTCTGAGAAGGTAGGATTACAGGGGTGAACTAACAATGCCTGGCTTCTCCTTACCTTAGTACAACAGAAAAGTAAGAAAGTATGACACCTGTCCCCTGCCAACTACAATAGGAAGGGAACACCATTTTCCTGAGCATCACTGTTTCTGGCACTGTAGAAAGTACTCTGCACACTTAGAACCTTTATATCTGCAAAGGTAGCAGGTAGATGGGTAGTCCCATGTCAAAAAAACCATAGGGGAGCTTGATTTAGTCTGACTCCAGGGTCTCTGCTGAATCCTGTGTCCCTAACGGAAACTTTATATTCAAATTCAACCAACACTTTCCAAGCTAATGGTCATGACATAGGCTTTCTGTGAACCCATAAACTCTAAGCTTGGTACTGCTGCGTGCCTTATGGATAGACTCTAAATCCTTGAGCAAGGGTATTTTCTTTCTTTCCCTCCTCCCTTTCTTTTCTTTCTTTTCTTTTCTCCTCCCTTCCTTCCTTCTTTCCTCCCTTTTCCTTCCTTCCTTCCTTCCTTCCTCCCTCCCTCCCTTCCTTCCTTCCTTCTTTCCTTCCTTCCTCCCTTTTCCTTCCTTCTTACCTTCCTTCCTTCCCTTTCTTTCTGTCAGTTGTGGGGCTTGAACCCAGGACCTGGGTACTGTCCCTGAGCTCAGTAAGACTGGGTACCTGTAATCCTAGCAACTTAGGAGGCTGAGATCTGAAGATCAATTTGAAGCCAGCCCAGGCAGTAAAGTCCATGAGACTCTTATCTCCAATTAACCACCAAAACACTGGAAGCGGAGCTGTAGATCAAGTGGTAGAGCAAAAAACACCAGGAAATGGAAACAAGGTTTGTGTGTGTGTGTGTTTTGTTGTTGCTTTTTTCTTTTCTTTTTGACTTGTTTATTTGTCTTTGGGAGGGTAAGAGGGGACACAGAAATGGAGGAACAAAGGGTGAACAAATGCAATGTTAACTATACAACTTATGGGAATGGGAGGGAAAAATCTGGGAGAGAGCGAGGGAAGGGTGACATTGTTCAAAAAGAAATGTACTTTTTACCCGAGTTATGTAACTATAACCCCTCTGTATATCACCTTTATAACAGCAACAACAACAATAATAATAAAGCTTAGGGACAGCGACCAGGCTCTGGGTTCAAGCCCTAGGATTAGTACAAAAAGAAGAAAATAAAAAGAATACTAAAATTTGAGCCAAGTGAGGTGAGCACATGTCTATAATCCCAGTACTGAGGAAGCCGAGGCAGAAGAGTGATGAGTTCAAGGCCAGCTTGGATTACAAAGAAGAGCCTGCCTCAAAAAAGTTATTTTTAGGGGGTGGGGTGGGGGGAGATGGGAAGGGGAAACAAGGGAGGAGGCAACAATGCTTGATAAGAAATGTACTCATTACCTTGCCCATGTAATTGTTACCCCTCTGTACGGTATTTTCACAATAATAATAAAAAAGAATATGTTTACAAAGATAAAAAAGTTATTTTTGATAAAGAATTACAATGTTTCTATGTCTAATGTTTACTTTTTTATCACTACATTCTCAGTTTTTCCTCTTTTCTGCTATGTAAGATAAAACTTAATTTTTAATAATAAAGTCTTACAGTTTTAAAAAGTTGAGCACCCCCCCCCCACTTTCTTAATTAACTTCAAACCACAGAAACAAACATGGATCACAAAGTGATGCCTCAATAAAGGATGTGCAGGATTTCAGGGTCATCAGCTCTCAGGACCTAAGTTTTCTGTGTCTCCACTTACTGTGGGGGCTTGGTGTGGCAGTTTTGGGGCTCCTGCATGCAGTGTCTTCTCTGATCTGAGGGTGATGTCTGGAGAACTGAGTGCAAGGGAAGTGCAGGCAGGGAGCACATGATGGGCCTGAGGATTTATTGAGAGTTCTGGGCAGTAAACTACAGGAGGTCTTGGGGATAACAGGCTGTATTAGATGAGCTTTGTAGCATTGGTTTGGGCTGTTCAGAACTGATTTGTTTAAATTACTTCCAGGATCTTAGCTATATTGCAGATTTTTTAAATAGCTAAGACCTAAACAGCTGAAGGACTGTAATTATTAGATTAAAGATTTATATATGTATAAACATACATGCATCTTTAATTATTATAATAATTTATACTCACAGGAAAACTAAAAAAGTAAGCTATATAAAAAGATAAAAACCATGACAAGCCTATTACTCATCAAACAACTACTATTAACTTTGGAAATTTTCCTTTTATGCTTTGATTTTATGTATGTGTGTTTAATAAAATGAAAACCTTACAGTTTTGTTTGTGGTTTATATACATAATTCTGTATCCTGCTGTTGTATATTATTAAAATACCTGGGCAAACATAATTTTAAGTGGCTGTTCTACTGAATGGAATATCATAATTTGCTTAATTATTCCCTTATTTTTTAAGAAACAGATTTAAGATACCTTTGAACTTTTACTGTTCAAAAACTAACTGAATAGCTCTGTATAAAAACACAATGCATAAATTTTTAATAAATAATCTTGGTTTTTTCATATTTAATAGAAGGTTCTGAGAGCCTTTTCATTACATGTTTTAGTACAAGTTAAA